ATGAGTTTTCTTAATTATGTTGATTAACCTAAAGAAGATGTTTGGCAATTTACATATAATGTTGGGGACGAAGTATCACTTATTAGTTATTAGGGACTCCATTAATTACTCTCATCTCCCATAGCGGTAGCATCCATGGAACTTACAATATACTTGTGTGTGTGTGTGTGTAATATTTATTTCTACACACACATATAAACCAACCCCACTTGGAACTAATGATTTTAAATCCTAGATGCGTCTGTGCATAAAAGAGTATTACTTCTTCTAATGGAGGGTTGTATGGCTATTGTTTACACTTCTAAATCAAGCCAGATGTGAATTTGTCACACCCCAACCCTAGGTGAGGCGGACAAGTACCATATGCACACATGCTTTACAAGTGACCTATGATGAGAAACTAAACTGCTATGCTGATAGATTTACTAATGAGAGGCTTCATATACAACACATGTCGACTAGCTGAACCGATACATATGACAAGTGAAATGATGAATAGAGATGATAGCTTTACAATGTTTACAAAGCCTCTACTGGAATCCATGACTGTACCACTATGAAAATGCGCATAGTAAAGACTCGACAAAGCCCCGAATCAACCTGTAGCTCACCAACAACCGTTGAGTATCATGTGCTTCTATTGGGGAGATCTACTAGTTGACCTGTACCAGTAGCATGAAATGCAGCGTCCCCAATAAGGGACGTTAGTAAGAAAGAATGTATTGAATATGTAAGGCATAATACAACCATATGTAAAATGAGAGCTCAAGTGAAACCAAATACCAATAAACAAGGATTAGAGACCACCTTTGTTTATACTTGTGGAATCGTGTATGTTACATTATTTTCTTTACTTTTCTGTACATTATAATCTTTATAAGACATATGATACAAATGACCAGTTGATCAGTGGTAGAAGAGGATGACCCATGCTAGGAATTTTAACCCCAGGGATGCTGTCCTCGTGATTCCACAAATTGGGATCGGCCCATGCTAGGCTTTAGCCCCTGAGCTGCCACCCTTTTGTACCAATTGGGATCGGCCCATACTAGGCTTTTTACCCTGAGCTGCTACCCTTCTATACCAATTGGGATCGACCCATGCTAGGCATTCGCCCCTTGGCTGCCACCCATAATTATAGATTGCTTCACTTAGATTCTTTAATCTTTGAGTTTGTTCGTTTTGATGTTCATAACTCTTTTAAGATTGTTCTTTTGATGATCATAACTCTTTTGAGATTGTTGTTGTGGTGGTCATAATCACTGTTGAGATTTGGAACTATGGACCAGTAGTAGAAGACATATGAATATGGACTTACGATAATAACACTGACATGGGAAGCAAATGTGACACGAACGTAATACTTAGGAGCTTATATGACTCAGTAAGCATTTTGACATCTTAAATTGAAGCACATATCAAGTGAAGACATTTAACATTCAGCCAAGAGATTTGAACTCTATATGATAGACAAATACTCGCTAACTAATATCAATTACAAGGTATAATGAACATGGAAAAAAGGGAGAACGTGGGCAGATTCAACTTAAGGACGGATACATATCCCAGATAAGTACATATACAATGTACAATAGAGCAAGTAGGGATCTTGTGAGGTAACATTATAGTCTAACACAATGGGATTAATGACCAATAAAGGGAGCATATGAACATGTGAAAGATGACATATATGATGGAATAGACAATTGAAGCGAGTTGGTAAGATATGGGCAGATTGTATATAAACATATCACTACAACATTTTATGTCTACAACCACCCTAGAAAAGTGTGGCCTAAACTATGAAAAAGTGTGGCCTTTGATAAAAATCCACACTTTTTGACTTTAAGCCACGCTTTTCCAGGGGTGGCCGAATGAAGCGTAACCTTAGAGTTTAGGCCACACTTTTCAAGTGTTGCCTTATCTGCTATGCTTAAAGCATAGCCTAAAGGCAAAAAGGCAACGCTTTGCAGCTACACTTAAAAGTGTTGCCTTATCAGCTACACTTTCAAGCGTAGCCTAAAAGGCAAAAAGGCCACGCTTTCCAGCTACTCTTAAAAGTGTTGCCTTATCAGCTACACTTTCAAGCTACATTGGTGAAAGAAGGACTTTATACTTTCGGAATAAGGGAAATGAAATTGGAATTCAAACTTAGGGCTTAACAGCGCCTTCAACAAAGAAATTGTGAACCGCCCTGACCAAGTCGTCAACAAAAATATTCCAACAGCCCGGTCTTGAAAATCGGTATAGTTTTGAACAAAGAACTATCGAGGGTTCGAATCCCTAAAAGGCAAAAAGGCTACGCTTAAAAGTGTTGCCTTATCAGCTACACTTTTCAAGCGTAGCCTAAAAGGCAAAAAGGCCACGCTTTCCAGCTACTCTTAAAAGTGTTGCCTTATCAGCTACACTTTCAAGCGTAGCCTAAAAGGCAAAAAGGCCACGCTTTCCAGCTACTCTTAAAAGTGTTGCCTTATCAGCTACACTTTCAAGCGTAGCCTAAAAGGCAAAAAGGCCACGCTTTCCAGCTACTCTTAAAAGTGTTGCCTTATCAGCTACACTTTCAAGCTACATTGGTGAAAGAAGGACTTTATACTTTCGGAATAAGGGAAATGACTGAAGCTCGATGTGATTTTTTAGAAGGCTTAACCTCACTATCTACTTTAGGATTTTTAATATATCGTGAAACTCCACAAGTATGACAAAATTCATCATCCTTATGATCATTCCTAAACAAAATGCAATCATTTGGACATGCATCGATTTTCTCATAATCAAGACCGAGATTCTTAACTATAGACTTGGTTTTATTGTAAAACGAAGGAATGTTCAACTCGGGCATCGCCTCTTTTAATAACTCTAAAAGAGAAGTGAATGATTCATTGCTCCATCCATGTAGACACTTCAACAAATATAAACGAACTGTCAATGATAATTTAGAGAATCCTGTACAACCAGGATATAATTCTTGGCTTGCCTCTTCTACTAAGTTATAGTATTTCTTGGCATCTTCATTTGGACCATCATAAACTCCATCGGCATGTGCAACATCTCTAAATTGATCATTCAACAACCCATCAATATCATCACGCGGGTAATCCATATCATCGTCAACATTCAACTTGATATCCCATTCCCCGTGATTGATCCATCTAGTATAACCTTTAACAAATCCATAGCATATTAGACGATCATACACTACATTCCTTCGAGTCTAACGAATATTACAATATTTTGCACATGGACACTGAATTTCCTCTCCTTGAGGATCTCCATAAGAGTAAGCAAAATCTAGGAATGATTCAACACCATCAATATACGGTTTGCTATACCTTGCTAAATCCATCCAATCCTTGGATGGGATATTTGAATTCCTAGAAGAAGATATCAATATTTAATCTTACAGTAACAATCATTAAATCATTAACTACTTCACAAATAAGTTTTAAAAGTCATGAGTAAGTTATCAGAATCAGGTGTTATGAGATGATAAAAGTTTCTTACCTAGTCATGGCGCTTGTGCTATGCCAAATCAAACATTGTATCCTCCACAAATGTTTCTGAATGTTGATTATACTTCTAAGGAAAAATAAGTAAAATTAATAGGATAGACACAATTAAGAAAGAAAGTAAATTAATAGGATAGACACAATTAAATGAACTAATCAAGATTAAGAAATTCTATCGAGAAGCAGGTTCAAGTTGTAAACAACATTTTAAAGAAATTCACACATTTTAAATATAGTGTGAAAATCTTTTTGAGCTTTTTAAAACTATGTCCAAAATTTTAAAATTTCATTCTTGTGCACACCCAATCAGAGAAGTATCAAACATCTACTACCATGTTTAAACATTCAAGCAAACATTACAATGATCCTATAATAGATAGTCGATCACACCAAAAAACTTAAAGTTTCATAGAGTTTATTCATTCTAAGTTATCCTTGACCTGAAGCAAGATTAGCTATAATCTTGGATCCTAAAGGGTGAAATATTACTTATAGAAGGACTGTGAATAAGAAGAAGTTGTGAAATTTTTCAAGACTCTAGAAGTGTTCAAGGCTTAACAAAATCCTGTGATAAGATTTTAAAAAGAGTTCATTAATTTTACTTCAAGTGTTATGTAGCCTTTCAAGTTCTAAAGTTAGGAAGAAAATAATTAACACAATCTAAAGCAGGCAAGTTGAACCAGATTTTAAGGCTAAAGTTGACTGCATTTTACAGAAGGAAAAACACACCCTTATGAATATTATATGTGCCATCAGACAATGTTGGAGAGTACTAGGCATCTATTTTTGCACTGTAAAGTAGCAGCTGGCATATGGAGTGTGTTCTTATCAGTTTTCTTATCTATTGCAGTTAATTGCCAGGACTCACCCTATAATCTGAACCTGCCACACTACACCATTTTAGGCCTACGGCCACCCTAGTAAAGTGTAGCCTAAACTAGCAAAAAGTGTGGCCTTTGATAAAAGGCTACACTTTTGGACTTTAAGCAACGCTTTTTAGGGGGTGGCCTAAAGAAGCGTAACCTTTGACATTAGGCAACACTTTTTAAATGTCGCCATCTTTGGCTACATTTATAAAGCGTAGCCAAAGAGGTATAAGGGCACACTTTGTTGTGATGAATTAGCGACACCTATTTTTTATTATACTACACTTAAAAGAGTTGGCTTTGCTTTGTTATTGGTCACACTTAAAAAGTGATGCCTTTTATATCTCATCAAAAGCAACACTTATAAAGTGTAACTTTATATATCATCTAGAGCAACACTTATAAAGTGTAACTATATATCATCTAGAGCAACACTTATAAAGTGTAACTTTTCTTATGTACAAGACAACATTGGACGTCCTAAAGCAACACTTTTGATGTGTGGCAATGTTGTGTAGAATTTTGTAGCCACAATTTTTTATTTTTAAGAATAATATTTTTTATTTGCATATATTCAATATATAATCACATAATTAAATATACAAGTGACCTAAAGCACAAAATTAGCTAATAATTAAATCGAAGCTATATATTTCAAATAAACTTCGAGAAACATGTCTTGTACAACCAATACTTAGAAAGTGATTGCTTAAATATCTCTACTATCAATAAATTCCAAAAAAACCAAATGCATTCAAATGTATATGACAATAGTACAAAAACTCTTTCATCGTTCACTACAATAGATCAAGTTTACTTTTGGCTACATGCAATTCAAATTAAATTACCGACATTTTCCTGCACATTCAAAATAAAATTATAAGTTAGTGAAATAAATCATGTGTATTTAATATGCTCAAATTCACAGTAAGACAAACCAATCCATAACAACAAATTAACAGGCCACACACATCAATGGACAATTTTATCAACAGCAAGTTGACATTCAAGAAACCTCCTGAGGTGAAATTTATTTCTAACTTAATCTACAAGCCAAATGTTAAAGCAACTATGAATTAGGCAAAAACAATCTCTTGAAAAACTACAGCTAGATGCTTATCAGGACCCTAATCAGGATTTAGAAGAGGAAGTTTAATCATTTTCACTGGAAGCAGAACCAACCATAAACTGAAGCTCTCTTGACATAAATCTCCAATGAAAAATCCCTAAGCATCTGAAGAAAGCAGTGCTGCTCTAATGGCTGAAGCAATAGTCCTTAACTTGTTTCCATTCCCATCACTTTTTGACACACAACAACAGAGACCCCTCCTGCACATAACCCATACCAGGTTGCATTGCAGATACAACTCTTTAGGCATAAATGGACTACTGGAAGACAACTCTTTATAAATTTTAGCATTTTAAAGACAGGAGACATCTAAAAGAAACAAAGAATCACTTGCAAAGCTAATCCATCTTGAAGGCAGTGCATTCCTAAGACATTAAAATTCAAAATTTCATGTCAAATTTCATTCTATCAAAATTTAAAAGAAAAATGAAGTTCACAGAGGTCACAAATAGTAAAGAAAAAGACAAATTCATTTGTCACTAGAGGACATACACTTATGCAGATCACAACCTGAAAGAGATAATACAAACTCATTTGAAGCCTATTATGTCAAGGATACTGGACAATATCTTACCCCAAACAAATAAAACAGTATACACATCTCTGATAAACATAAAACGACAGGAATAAAATACAAATTCACTGTGAGAATCAGAAAAAAAATGTCATGTATCAAAAGAGATCATTCACACACAAAACGACCCTACCAAGGTTGAATAAATCTGCACCTACTGATATGAGTGAGATCTGATCAATCTAGACTTAGAAAACAAGCACAAGAACAACAGAGTAATTTCTTTGGCACCTTCAAAACCCATAACCAAAAACAAGAAAACTACTACAACAAATAGAAATAAAGCAACATCAATGCACGCTTTTATCAACAGCTTGTTACGTGCTTATGCAATACAAATCTAGTGATATTCTCAAATGCACGTTTATGTACTTACTTAGAAAAGTATGTTATAAGAAAATTATAAAGACAGGGAAGTTAGACAAAGCAAAACATGAAATTTTCAAGGAACCTAAGTAGCCCTATCATATAAAAAACAATGTCTTCCGGAGAATATACAGATCATGGTACTATTAAAGTGCAAAACTTGTCTATCCTAGTTCCTAGGACTGTTTTCAGATTTTGTTCGGTCTTCAAATCTGAATTGTCATCTCATGTTATAGCATTAATGTCGTCCTAGCTGTTGTAATTTTTTCCACATACAAATCATTTGTCTACGGGACTTGTAAATTAGGATGTGTTGCAGTGTTGGTACATGTGTAGCTTGTGAATTCTATTGTTGTAATACCAAACATAAGAATATATGTGTTGAAGTGTTGGCACTGCAATGACTGGCTGATTTGTTTCCTCGATTCATCTTCGAGCAGTTCAACAACCTGTCGCTCACCCCTGCCACAAATCCATATCATGCAAGTTATACTCTGGTAAATTATTTTAAGGACCACATGTAGTAGACACCACAAACTTAAACACAGTCCATTAACATGCTAAGTTAGAGAAGCTCCTCTTCCGTCGAAGGTATCAAGGGAAAGGTTGACTATTGCTACGGTTAAAATATCAAAACATTTCATATATTTTGATTCACTGTTATCTGGTTATACAAGAATCATAGGAAGTTCTTGAGATATCTTTCGTATTTTTGCAACATCATTGGGAATAGATATCATGCTTACAAAGGCAATCAATCAAGTAACTACCAAAAGAATAGAGTGTGAATGCTTCATAACAATTCCTCAATATGTCGCAGGCAAGGGAAAATTTTGGGTTCCACAAGTATACAATCTGTAAAAGATGAGAACCAATTCATTTAACTCATGAGAATTTGAAGTTACTTATTTAGAAACTTTGCATCAGCTTTAAAGATTAATTTACATTGTTGCTTTAGTCATTCAGTTTAATCATGTATATTGCATTTAAAGATAGTGTATCTCGTAAAATAGTGAAAGATGCAGCAAGACATTATAATATTATATCCAATTAGAACCTTATCTACTTGATACATGTCTCAATTTACAATTCAGAAATCTGAGTCCCTTTCACTGGTTTATATCCTTACTGATTAAGTGGCATAGACAGGAACCATGAAAATGACCCCTACGGTCCATTTTTGTTCCTGATAAGCAAACACAAATTTAGATCCTACATTCTAAGAAATTAAAATAAAGAGTAGTCCATGTATACCTAAATTGAGAACTCACCACCAGACTAGTATATTATCTGAGATGCTGAAAAATTAAGAGAAGCGATAGGATCAATGCTACCAAGACAAAGCATCCCCCAATTACGAGAGCAGGCTCGTGGAGATCTCTAGAAATATTCACATCGAAAGAGATGTAAAATGATGCCATGCCACATGATCTCAACCAAACCTGAAAAACAACAATGCAATTAACTTGGAATGGTTATCGCTTAACTTAATCTACAATAGAGGGAAAAAACAAAGGCACTTCCCTAAGCCTGGTAATCTACTAATCCAAAAGTAGAATGCTAGAAGCAAGTAAAAAGTTTTCATTATTTGCATTTTTTTCAGGTGTTACTAAGTCCATGTATTCTTAGTAAGGTATGTTCTACAATTGTTTGGAAAGGAGAAGCCTGATGAATTTTCAGCATTTTAGGAAGGTCTATTCTACAATTGCACATAACATAGAGGACAATTAATGAAATCTACTTTGCAGGAGAACCTTCAACGATTGGGATCTTGGCAGTCTAGAAAAGACTTATTTCCCCCGTGACATTTATATGAAGAATCATTCAAATACATGAATCTTGAAAAATCTCATGCTAAGCGACTCTAATTTTGAGCCAAAAACTAAACCTAAAAAAGAAAGTTCTTCAATTGCTCATCTTTTGCATATGCTTATCAGAAAGTCCAGAAATAAGCTAACAAAATGGGTATATCAACAAAAGAGAAAGGTTTACTTCAAATAAGTTAATTCAGATTTCTACTACATTCCATTTATTTTTAAAATATACTATTTCATAAAGTGCTCGAATACTGAGTTACAAGTCAACTTCAAATAGTAAAAGATTTTCAGCAGAAAATCAACATAGCATTGCTAGTGTAACTAAGTATATTAAGAAACTAAGCAAGTACATTGTCCAGTCATGTAGTAACCTTGATTTTAAATGCTAAAGGAGGTCATAAAGAATCCTTAAGGTCTTCACAAGCCTACTTCAGCTCACGACAAAAAGTTTTTTTGTTTAAATGCTACATATATTACAAAAAGGAAAGCATGAAGATTGTGTAAAACATTACATCAAAAACCCAAAAGATCTCTGACAATGTATACAGTAAATTTATGAACTATAATAACATGGACTCAACTTCATTTACAAGTTCTACTTTACACCAAAAGGAAATCACAAAAATACTACTCCCCCTCTATCACATCAATTTAGAATAATCAACTCTTTTATAATGTTAACCGAAAAAAAGGAGAAATATAGTTAACATAACTGATCCGATTTCTCTTATATTTTCCATGCTTACTATGAGTAACATTATCATGTTTGAACTCCTAAAATAGTGTCACATTAATTTTTATATTGGGTTATTAGTAAAAAGTAAGCCTTGATTCTGCAAATTCGAGTGTTAGGTCAAATTTATGTAGATTATAGTAAAACAAGTAATGCAACTTACTCGAGCATCATGAGTCATTGAATCTACTTTATCAAGGATTTTGATCTTAAATGGTGGGCAATGATAACCACTGAAATGAGTAAGGAAGATATCTCATTAAACAACAAAGTAAAAAAGAGGCTCAAAATGCATTAAAAATTGAGCTAGACAAGACATGAGTTTAACTTTGTCGATTAAAACCAACATGAATAGAAGTTCTTAATTTTTGTACGAACTACATTGATACAACTATCATCACTAGAATTTAGCTCCATATTCTAAACTTATACTACTTGGGTCTGTTAAAGAAAAATTCACTAAAAGATGAAATATATACATACAAAAAGTAAGGTAGAAAAAAGGAAACAATCAAGCAGCATAAACTCATAAAGCCCAAGTTTGATAATATGATTTCTCTTTTGTTAGAGAATATTAAGAGTCGCTTGTCCATTGGAAAATGTATTTAGTAATCTCAAAAACAACACAAGAAACTCCACAAGAATATTCTTGTTCAGTAGAGGATTTTACTTATTAGAATGTTAAAAAAAGGAAGTGCTCATCTCTTAAACTTGTCACATTAGTTGACAGATTCCGGAAGAATTCGCTACAACTAAGTGTAGGGATTTGGACAAAAACAATAGGCCTGTACGTTTTACATTAGTCAAGTATACTTCAAAATATTAAACAACATATGGATATAAACTCAAGAAAGTAAATATATTTTCTTATCCTAATACATTTAAACAACACAATCCTAGTTGACTCTATGAATAATGGAGAGAAAATGTGTGTAGAAACATGAAACTAGCAGCAGCTAGAAGATAAGCTAGGCTTGAATACATGTACTAGAATTTGAAGCAAGGCAGCAAGTTGTTTTATGTCCATTCAATTTCTAGAATATAAATAGTATAAAGAAAATATATGTCCAGCTTATTCCTCTTTACACTTTGAATTTCAAAAAGAACGAAATTGTTTTTCATTGCTAAACTAGAAACAATGTAAGATAGAAATTCCTAGACCAAATCGGATTTCAACTAACATTATAGGTCATTAGGTGGCTGGAAGACATTTACAGAAATCAGATTTTTATAGACTTATTTCATAATCAATTTCATCACACTACAATTTGCTATATGAAATTGACATCAAAAAGTACTTTCTTGGCTAAAATATAAATTGACTTTCAGGAACAAGATCTATAGAATCAATAATCAATCGACAATACAAAAAAATTCTTAATTAAATTAACATCAAGTAGAGAAACCCCCAAGTAAAATCCAGATGTTACATAAACATACCTGAGAAGTGGGTACAAAAAAGAACCCTAAAGGGTCGTCATCTTCCCATTCAAGGAGGACCATAAGACAATATAGTCGGGTACTGTAAGAAAAACGAAATGAACAAATATTCATCTCAAACACATTAGCAACCAAAACTGAACCATAAAAGTGTCTAAATATTTTTCAAAATATTACGAGCAATTAACATAGAAATGGATTGTTCTATCCAACGGCATAAGTATGAGCAGAAACCGAAGAGAAAATTGTGAGCAGAAACTTCACTGAACCTCCGTATGTGATTTGGGCACTCTTTTCTTAGATTGATCTGGGAAGAGTTGCTCCTACCAGAGCTCTCTAAATTGGGACAAAGAGAAGCTTTTACCTGAGTTCTTGTAGATTCTTCGATTCCTCCAGATCTGGAATTCTTCGAATTATTTCTTTAGTCTCTCCCATAAAGGTGAAGCACGATTAAGGAAATCACAACCAAACATCGACAAAGTTACAATGGAGACTTTTTGGGGTGGAAATGAGAAGGAGAGAAAGTAGGGTTTAATTTTTGAGTAGTGATATAGGCAAAGAGTAACTAGGAGAGCATTTTAATTTGGGGAAAAACGTTTTTAGAGTTATGTTTATATTGAGGTTATTATTTACCAATTAGAAATTGGAGGGAGAGTTAAATATATTGGGGGAATACATTATTTTGGAGAAAATTTTAGGAAAATTATAAGGCCACACTTGTAAAATGTTGTTTTAAGAATTATAAAAATATCACACTTTAAAAGCGTAGTCATATGTATAAATATGCATTGATAATTATATCATGATGTGGCAACGCTTATAAAGTGTAACCTATACTACTAAAGAGAACACTTTATAAGTGTTGCCAAAATTACCGTAGCCAAATGGTAAAACTAAGGATATGCTTTAAAAGCGTAGCCAAAAATGTTTTAGGCAACACTTTACAAGCGTTGTCAAGATTCAGTGTGGCCTTAGGCCTAAAATGGTGTAGTGCCAGGACTACCAGATCACTCAGCATCCTTCATAAAAATTCTATAATCTGAACCTATGCACCTCCCTTATTCAAAAACAAACCAGTCATATTCAACCATTCTGCATCAGAGTTCTGCCTCTTGAACCTTGTTCACAAGCAGTCAGACAATGTCCAATAGAATAACAGAGTTCTACCTCTTGAACCCTCTCTTATTCATTTCTTTTGTGTTCTGGTTTGTATAGAAGTTTGTTGCTTTGGTATATTGAGTTACAATATTTGTTTGGATTTTTTTAGTCTTGTTAGAAATTTACAAAAAAATAGAAAATGTACATTACTGGTTGTACTGGAGAAGCTTAAGTGGAGTGACATGAATAGTAAGGATTCATATACTCGAATTATGGCTCAACTGAACCAATTTCTATTTCAGATTCTAATTCTGGCTCTTCAGGCAGTGTGAAAAAAGAACAGTTTCATTCGTATAATGACTCATTTCACAATAGTTTTTGCACAAATGATTCATTTGTTCCAAGCAACCTCAAGTCATTTACCTACAATGAACTGAAAAATGCAACTAGGAACTTCCTAGATGATAGTCTTCTTGGTGAAGGAGGTTTTGGTTACGTCTTTAAAGGATGGATAGAAGATTGTAGATTTGCAAATTTGCAGATTGCAGATTTGCAGATTGCAGATTTGCAAATTTGCAGATAGCAGATTGCAGATTTATAGCACATTGCAGTAGCTATATCCAACTCGAAGTCCACCTCAGGCCAAAGAACAGGGGCGGCAGGAGAAATATCCAAAGATACTCTAATGTAGACATGTAAATCAAGATAGCAGGCGCACCAAACAAAGCATGGAAAAAGTATAAACTCAACTCCAACAACACCAAGACACTCTACTGCAGACAAGTAAGTCTCACAACTATGCTTCTAGTCAAGTTGGTAACACTAATTCTGAAACTCAGGTTGTAACATCTCAATATACTTACCAGTATACTTATTCACTCAAAACATCTCCCATATAAAAAAATGATACTTGAATCTAATTCAACACCAAAAACTATATCATGAGAAACTCAAGTTCATATAAGTAGACCATCAGTCAAAGTATTTTATGAAATTCAACAAGTATAGTTTAATAAGCTTACTGCAAACCAAAGAATATATTATGTACATAAAACCCTGTTTTAATTCATTAATCTTGAGTTAATTTGGAATGCAGGAATAACCAAATCAATATTGACATGGGAAAAAAGATTCAGAATAGCCGTTGGAATTGCAGAAGCTTTGAATTACCTACACAATGAATGTCGAAGGCCTGTTATTCACAGAGATGTCAATCATCAAACATTCTTCTCAATGATGATTTTGAACCACATGTGTGCTTTTCAATCTAACAGATAAATCTGTGATTATCTTATGATTGATTTGATTAAATACATATATTTAATATTATCAGTAGGTAATTAGTACACCAGAAGTATCCTTAAAACTTGTGATCTTAAACATATCCGAACAATTGTATAGCTGTAAGAACATGTTAGTAAGGATAAGATACGAAAAATGTTGTGTCCTTACCCAATAAACAGCAGTAAAACCAGCTACAGCAGAAATCATGTTCTTTGGCACTTTCTTCCCATACTTTGGAATTTCAGCTGTAACTCGTGATTTGTTCCATTCCAACAACCCCAAAAGTATTCAAATTCCTTCTAAAACACAAAAACAAAAAATTAGTAAGAGAATAAGAAGGAATCTCGGATGCTGAATATGGACTCATAAAATCTAATGGTGCTCATGACATACAGAGAAGAACAAATACTAAAACCCCAACAAGAACTTAAATCAAAGAAAATGGACTAATAAAATAGACCAATTTTTTCCACCATGTACTTCAATAATCAGAAATTGTAGGTAATTCAATATGCAAATACATTTCAATGCAACAGACCTTGGCTTTTGGAATGACCTTACGAACAACTTTCTGACCCTTAAGTTCACCTTTCTTGACAATAGCAGAACAAGTATACCCAAAATGGCCTCTACCCACTTCCTCCCCAATTTCATACTTTGTTACTGGATATTGGCTCGATTGCAAGAATCCTAAAGATTCGAGGATTGAAAGATTGTCCAGGAGAGAACTCGAGGATTCAATCAATGGAGATGAATAGAAGAAGAGAGAAACAGAGAGAAGAAGAGAGAAAGTGAATCTGTATATTTCATATATTCCCTGTAACTGATGATTACAATCTATTTATGAAGAATACATTTTAACTGACTTATTCTATCTAACAGATTCAGTTACACTAACAGTTTAACTAACTTCCAATACACTGATCAACTAACATTTGATTATTGTAACAGTACTCCCCCCATACAAAAGATCATTGACCTCAAGGATCAAAGGAAGGAAATCTTGTCTTCAGGATAGTAGCAAATTCCCAAGTGGCAACATCAGCAGGCAGTCCAACCCATTTAACCAACACCTGAGCAACAACTTTGTTGCCTCGCTTAACCAACCTTCGTTGCAAAACAAATTCAGGACCAGGACAATTAGGATTAGCCAAATCAACAGTAGGAGGACAAGAAATGGAGGAAGGAACCTCATAACACCTCTTTAACAATGACACATGCACAGTAGGGTGTATCTTCACTGAACTAGGCAAAAGGAGGGTGTAAGCCACAGGACCAACTCTCTTGATGATCTGAAACGGGCCATAATACTTAGCAGCAAGCTTGTGGGAAGAGTGATGATATATGGTAGCTTGTTTATAATGCTGCACTTTAAAATAAACCCAATCTCCAACAGAAAATTGTCTATCACTCCTATGTGAGTCTGCTTGTTGCTTCATCCGAAGCTGAGCTCTTAGTAAGTGATGTTTCAGTAGCTGCAACTTGAGCTCTCTATTCACCAGTGTCATGTCAACTTCAGCAGAAGCTGACTCACCTGGTAGATAAGGAAGATGGAGGGGTAGGGGTCGACCATACAAAGCCTCATAAGGGGTTGTTTGAATGGCTGAGTGAAAACAAGTGTTATACCAGTACTCAGCCATAGGTAAACAAGCTAACCAATTTGAAGCATCATCATTACAGTAGCATCGCAAATAGGTTTCCAAGCATCTGTTTAACACCTCAGTTTGTCCATCAGACTGAGGATGATAAGCCGTAGAGGTATTCAACAATACACCTTGCAGAGTAAAGAGCTCTTGCCAGAAGGAGCTCAAAAAAACAGCATCTCTATCACTAGTAATAGCATCTGGAAGACCATGGAGTCGGACAACGGTATCCAAGAAAACTTGAGCAACTGATTGAGCTGTATAAGGATGTTTCAACGGAAGGAAATGACCATATTTGCTGAGTCTATCAACCACCACCAAAATCACCTCATGTCCTTTAGACTTAGGAAGACCATCAATGAAATCCATACTGATTTGAGACCAAACTACCTCAGGAATTGGCAAGGGTTGTAACAAACCAGGGTATGCAGCCAAATCAGACTTATTCTTTTGACATACATCACATTTTTGAATGAATTCCTTCACCTCCGTCCTTATGTTCTTCCAATAAAACAGTGTCAACAATCTCTTGAGGGTAGCTTCAACTCCGGAATGACCACCAAGAGGTCCAGCATGCCACAAGGTGATAATGTCAGTCCTCAAGATCTGTACATTTCCAATCACAAGCTTCCCTTTCCTTCTTAACTGACCTTGTAACCAAGTGAATTGGCTGTGGGAAGTAGGATCTGCCTGTAGCTCGGTGATTAACTGATGCAGCTCCTGATCTGAATGCCAACTCGCCACTATAGCTTGAAAAAGATCAGTATTAGTAGGTGAAATTATCAAAGCCAGAAACTCAGCTCCAGTCACTCTGGAAAGTGCATCAGCTACTTTGTTCTCAATTCCCTTTTTGTACTCAATAGAGTAATCAAATGGCATGAGCTTAGTCAACCACAACAATTGAGAATTAGTATGCAACTTTTGCTCCATAAGAAACTTTAAGGCTTTCTGATCAGTCCTAATAACAAACCTCTGACCTAGTAAGTATTGAGACCACTTAGTAACGGCCTGAACAATTGCCAATAACTCCCTATCATATACTGATAAGGCAGCATGCCGGGGAGACAAAGCTTTACTAATAAAAGCTATAGGATGCCCTTCCTGCATAAGCACAGCCCCTATCCCATAGCCACTAGCATCCGTTTCAACAATAAAAGTCTTGCTTGCATCAGGCAAAGCCAAGACAGGTGCTTGAGTTAGTGCCTCTTTCAATTGTACAAAGGCTGTTGAGCTGTGGAATTCCATTTGAACTTATCCTTCTTTGTAAGATCATTGAGAGGTCTACTAATCATCCCAAACCCTTGGATGAACCTTCTATAATAACCAGCTAAGCCTAAGTACCCTCTCAGTTGCTTAAGAGTAGTTGGGGCAGGCCAATCTTTAACTGCTTTGATCTTCTGAGGATCAGTAGACACACCCGCTGCTGTTATAAAGTGACCTAGGTATTCAATCCTACGAACACCAAAAAAACATTTACTTTTTCTAGCAAATAACTGGTGCTCCACCATCTTCAAAAAGACAGACCTCAAATGCAATACATGATCTTCTATGGTCTTACTATATATCAATATATCATCAAAAAATACCAATACATGC